CCAGCGTGCATGGTCACCATCCGCAGCATGGCAGACAGCACGCTGCGCACCATGTCATGGACAAAGGCCTGCGCGGCCTTCGCCCGCCGCTCGCCGCGGAACCAGCGGGCCTCGTCGTCGGGCGGGTGCTGGGTGTGCAGGTACGTTTGCAGGCGCAGCAGCTGCCGCCTCTCCTCATCGCCCTGCTCGTAGCGCAGGAGGTGGCCAACCCAGTGCAGCTGCCGCTGCTGGCGCACGCGTGCATGCTCGTCCCTCATGGCGTCCTCAGCATCGGCGTGTCGGTGGTGTTCCTCCTTAAGCGTCCCTGCGATGCCGTCGGCTCTCAGGAAGCCAAACAGCGCCTCTTGTGCGCACACATCCACCAGCGCGTCGCAGCCAGCCTCCGTCCACGTCAGCTGCGCAACAACGTCGCACAGGAGCGGGCGCATGTTGGTGGTACTGAAGAACATGGCCGGCGAATCGCTGTCGTTGCGCGTGTTGTTGATGGCGCTGACCATGCCGGCGCTGTTGTTGTTCTCACAACAGCCCGTCTCGTTCAACCTCACTGCCAGCGGGCCACGGTTGCCGCCCACAGCCTCTGCACCAGCATCACCATCACCATCACCGTCACCATCAGGAACGGTAGTAGGAGCAAGCGGGCGACTTGGGTCTGCGGAGATGAGGGCGTGGACGAGGCAGCGCAGGAGGCGCGGGTGCGCCAGCATCTTGGCCTTGAAACGGTCCTGTTGCAGCAGCACGTGCGTGGTGTGCCAGGCCATGCGCCACATGGCAGTGTCGGGTGCCACGTCACCATCTGCCATGCGCTGCAGGAAGGGGATGGCGGCGGCGTGGGCGTCGCGCACCATGTCGTGCTGCGCCGTTCGGACGAGCACCTGCCATGCCATTCGCTGCACCGCCACCATTGTGGCAGCAGGTGGGGCAGTCACAGTGGTGATCGTCGTCGCAGTGACGATCGTAGTCACACTCCCAGCAGTGGTGGTGGTGGTGGTGGTCGTCGTCGTCGTCATTGGGGCCATTGCAATGGCGGTGGTGGTGGCGATGGCGGCGGCGAGTGCCACCAGGTTGCAGATCGCGTCTTGCGACAGCGACGCGTGTACACAGGCGCGCAGCACCGAGCAGCAGTAGTACTGGAGCCGCACACTGCTGCTGAAGGTGATGGGACTGTCGCTGGTGGCGGCGACGGCGTCAGGCGTGGAAACATCTTCGCTGTTGGGGTCGTCGAGGGTGCCATTGACATTGCTGCTGCTGCCGCCGCTGCTGCTGCTGCCGCTGCTGCAGTAGTTGTAGTTGTCGTGGTCATCATCGTCACCACGGACATGGCTGCCGCAAATGCCGTACACGGCCGAGACGGCGGCTGTGATGATGCTGCTGCTTGCCACGGGATGGAGGATACAGCGATCGACGAGGTAGTGCCACGCGTACGCTACCTCCCGCGCCAGCCACACCTGGTGCCGACACACGCGCACAGCACGAGCCAGCAGCTCCATCTCGCGCCGCGTGCAGCTGCGGTTGGTCATGACCACATAAGCGGCGCACAGGCGCGCAGCAGCCATTTGCACGGGCGCATGCGCAGGGAAGGCAGCCAGGGCGTTGAAAGCGGCGGCGGCGGAGTTGGTGACGAGGTCGTTTGTGCCGTCAAGGAAGAAGAGGTCATGCGACAGCATACACGCCCAGAACTGCACCCCGCTGCTGGCCGCGTGCCACTCCATGGATACAGTGACCAGCTTTGGCGTGCCCTCAGGGACAATCTGGTGTAGCAGGGAGCGCTTGTGCCGCGCGGTGCGCACGACGTTGCAGAGCGCTGCCCAGGCGTGCTCGACGACACAGGCGTTGTCGGAGAAGGAGAGGACGGCGTTGAGGATGGCTTGTGTGATGAAGGGCGCTTCGTGGGGCCGCGGCGGGCAGCGGAAGGCGAGCTGCTTGAGCGCCTTCAAGCAGGCGATGGTGACGTCGGCTTCTCCAGGCAGCATCGCCATGATGCGGACGAAGGTTGATGGCGCGTGTGCGCTGATGCACATTCCGGCGTCGTCACCATCGTCTTCTTGCAGTGCACCCGTCAACACGCACAGCAGGTCGTCCAGGTCGTCTTGGGAGCGTGGTGTCCACTCATCGCTGTGGTCTGCGCCCGTGTCACCGTTGTTGTCGGAGCGAAAGGGGATGCATCTCTCGCGCACGTACTGCAGGAGATCTGGGCACAGGGCCTCATCCTTGGCGGCCGTGTCCACCTGATGGTGGGAGGAGGAGGGCGAGCACTGTGGCGAGGTGTTTTTCGGAGACGTGAGCACAGGCAGAGACATGGTCGTTGAGGGGGGGGGGGGAGAGGAAGGGAACGGAGAGGGTGATGAAGCGGGAGGAGAGAGGGAGAGGGAAGGCGAGAGGAGTAAGGGGGGGGGGCGAGAGGAATGAAGCAAGCCAGTGATTGCGATTGGGGTTACGGTTGGCTGTCGCGATGAATAGACGAAAAGGGCACGCGCAGGGGCATACACACGAAAGGTGATTG